CCTTCTCTTGTAGGTTGAAACTGTCAGTGAAATTAACATGGGGTCATAGGTCAACATGGGCTTGAAACGAGTAACAGAAATAGCAGTTATTAGCATATTAACCATTCAATCTGTTAGCCAACGCGTATTTGGTAATCATTTATACCAATCGTACTAACAAGCCGCATCAAATAAATGAATTAATGTCCTACTTTTCTGAACCAACGGATCCATCAGAGAAGTTTTAGGTTCTGCCAATGGTTCTTCTCGCTATTCAATACCGACTAACAAGAGAAAACTGTTATTTTCCACCGAGAGAGAGAGAGAGAGAGAGATGGGGGTTTAACGTCCACTCGACATAAACTAGGTCATTTCGGGACTAACAGATGGGTCAATTTTATTTCACTGATTCACTTGCGTGTAGGGTAGGGGTCTTTAACAGTGCTAGGAAACCGGAGGACCCGGAGAAAACCCACGAGGTTGGACAGGCGACCCTACTCCTTGTTACGTACAACCGGGGATTCGAAACAACGCCAGTTGACTCAATGACAGGCCTTATGATACAGCGCACTGCTAACCATTCGACCATCCAACTCCCCGAAATGAAATGGGGTTTAACGTGGCTCCAATGTTTTAAAGAAGGTTCCCTTTAAACCATACATATTATGAGTAGGCCTATATATATCTTACAGACTGTGTGCCTATAGATACACCATGTTAGATCAGATTAGGAAGCCGTAATTTAATAAACCATAAAATAAGTTACATGAACAACAAATGTTGACGTATGCCATGATCGGTGATTGCTATTTCCTACTAAATAAACAAGACGTTTAAATCTGCCATCAATTTTTATTACTTTCTAAACAGCTTGGGGAACAAAATAACGATACTAATTCGATTATCGCCCCTTAGATTTCATGGCGCAGATTTCGTCTGTTCGTTTGGATTGTTTAGAATGGCGACATTTGTGATAGATTTCCAGAAGAATATAACACCGTGGATTCTATAATCGAGTTAATCTGTCGACCAGAGATATATCATTATCAGGAATGCAAGCGGGATTCAAACTGGTATATAAACACAGGAGGGCGGGAAATAAACACGATGACTATTTTAATCCGTCTTAATGCTAGGTTCCCACTATCACGATTCGTGCTGCGATTGAAATCGTGGTTTTAATCGTGGAGTAATCGTGGTGGTCCTATCAGGTCTTATCATATATTGACGTCAGTCGTAGCAGTCCTTTTGACCGTGTCGAAACGTACCCGAACGTATCTGCACGTACCGGATCGTGGACTCAATAGAGACTTTTGGCAAGCGTAAATTCCTGGTCCCTATCGCGTATCCGTATGGATTTTGAGTGTGACGTCATCAATGTGTGTGCTTTTCTCATACGTGATACGGCACACGGATACGGCAGCACGTATCGAACAGCTGTCATACGGAAAAGGTCCGTATAAAATTGTCATCTTTTTTTGCTACTTTGAGACGCAGAAATGTTGTAGCATAGCGTTTGTATTATTCATACTTTTCCTGTCTGTCTGCATGCTGATTGATCTACTTGCTAAATTTAGGGAGGTGGGACCTTGCAAATTTGTAAATTATTTTGTACTAAGGGGTATAAACTTTCTGAAATGATACATTAGTGAAATCAAAAATTTCTGCCGAATCTAAGTCGAAGAATTTTTGATAAGATTCGAAATTAATTTTTTTAATAGCCCAGCGACTTCAGTCCCTCCAGGAAATTGTAGGCTAGTACTTAGGGTGATCTTGGTAGATATCTGCCATCATGCTGTAATACATGTAGAACTAAGCTCAGCTCAGCGACGCGTAAATCTGCCAAAACTCTAAGGTTACATTGACTCAACGTATCACGTATACGATATGGATACGTGATACGGATGGGAAAAATTCCGCTTGCCAAAAGTCTCTATTAGGGACAATCCTAACGTAACGCATCGCACGACAGTGGGAACCTAGCATTAGGAAGCGATTAATTGTCGGCGATGTTATATTTTCGGACTTCACACCATATTCCTAAAGCACTGATACGGGACACTATTTAATACTCTTTAAAGATGCATTATATAAAAGTTAATATTCCTAGTGCTCGTCTTTTGTCAAAATTATTGTTCTATAAATTATTATTTAAACATGTATTAACATGACAAGCCCGCAGTAAACTGTCTGGGTCATTGGATGGCTCCGAATTAAGCAGAGTAGAACTCCACGGAAATTTAAGAGTTTACGAAAAAACAGATAATCGAGACTTAGACTCGACTATCATTAATAACAATCAACGCTTACATTTTGTGCGCGCCAACCATTCTTCGCCCCATCCGAAAGAGCTAAACTCCTATCCTGGACCGCTGACTCGGGCAAATCACGCTGAAAAATCTCGGGAAACATTCTCGGTCATCATTGGGGTCCAACCCCTGACATCTTGGTTAATTAACCCACGCCTTACTCATTGAGACACGGTGGTTCTGCCAGGGCCCGTGAGAAGGTGGGCAGCTTGGAATTTGTTTGTATACATTTATGAAAAAAATACGCTTTTACTTAGTCATAAAGTAGAAGAAAACCGGTGACTTTTCTGAATGTGGGTACCTACTGGCGTGGGTAGGATTAGAATCGGATTCTGCCATAGTCTGCGTGGGTAGGATTAGAATCGGATTCTGCCATAGTCTGGACTATCGCGCCATGAGGCTCTCGTCATCGTCAGAGTATCCGGGCCCCATTCCGTTTGAATCCTTTTCAACATGATTTTAGCTATTGAAAAAAGTTACTGAATAGTGTATGTTATGAAAAATTTTCTTTTTGGTATTTTGGCGCTTCCCCCCCCCCCCCCCCCCCGCAAAAAGTTTCGCCCCACCCTGTGAAAAAAATTTTGACCATAAAATAAAATTAGATATACATTGTCCGTCAATTTTACAGCACCCCTGAGAACACCCCCCCCCCCCCACACACCCCCTCTCGTTGCTCTTGGGCTAGTTACGACCTTTTATAAAACACATTCTGTATGAGATACGATTTATTGTCTGCGATATCATGTTGTATTTCCTTTCCTCCTGCTTTCTGTTCGTGATATGAAATAAGGTTTAACGTTCCACTGTGCCAAAAGGCGACAGGGCCAGTGTGAAGACAAGCATGCATCTAGCTACTAGAACTTAGCTAAAAACGTTAAGATACTGGGGCCTGTTTCACGAAATTTTAGCTAAGATAAATCCAAATTTTAGTAATTTGATTGGATAATATTAGATTGATTATAGTGCTTAGCCAATCAAAATTGAAGTATCTACTAAAATTTGGATTTTATCTTTAGTTAAAATTTCGTGAAACAGGTCCCTGATGTGTTGAGTTTTTATCTAGCATGTACGCCATGCAGTGAGCTACGGTGGAAATTTTGACCGGGTAGTGGCGTGTCCACCTACTCTTTATGAAATTCAAACTGCCAAGGGCCAATCGCATTTTTTTTTTTTTTTTTTTGTGGTGGTGGTGGTGGGGGGGGGGGGTCTAAGGCTATTTGCCCCAAAATTTTCTTTGTCACCCGAATTTTCAGAATGAATGAATCTTTCACACTGACTGATCAGCAGTAAATTTTCGCTAGGCCGCTACAATCACTGATAAGGATGACATCGATGCGACTTAATGAGTCCCAAATATTAACTTTTTTCTTCCGTCAAATTAAATTCTAAAACATTTTTTTCATTTATTAGAAAAATAAATAAAGACTGTTGAATTGTTTGTAGGTAAAATCATTTCCTATTTAGTGTAAATGGGTATTAAAATAAGTAAAATTCGCCATTTAGCCCGAATCAGTAACGTCTTATGAAAACAATGCACGTGCTATTGAGCCATTGATTGACGCCGCGTGATGTGACGTCACGTGTCGAAACAGTCATCTGTAACATAGATATTATAAGATCTCTGTAAAACAGATTGTCAATCTTTAACTAAATGGTGGTTGTTTATTTTTTTTAATTCATTACATAATTGCACAACAATATAAATTTACAGTATGTTAAGTAAAAAACAACTTAATGTTCCCCATTATCTGATGTTTGTCACCGAGAAACGGAAATATATATACATTGCCTATGGTAGAAGCGTTACAATAATGGTGTTTGTATTTGTTTTAATGACGAGGCCTAACCGGTGCATTTTGGTTACATCTTAAAGACTGGTAGCCTGAGCCAATTGGGCGCTTTTTATCTGGAAATAAAAATAATCATATTTATAACTTTGAATGTAAAAGAAGGACTATTGTGGAGTAAATTTGAGAGATTCATTTATTTATTTTCTTATTTAAAGGGTCTAAATCGCTAATATTTGGGACCTAGAAATTGACACAAATGGGTCGCAACGCATATAATAATGTAATATGAATGTATATAAACTGATTTACATTCAATCGGTTCTGTTTTTACTCTAATTTCTAATCAGTTATGTTCGGCGAAATACGCCAGAAGTCTCATGTGAATGGCAATCTTTAGCATCTGTTTTTTTTTTTCAGTCTACACCGATAGTATTTATTGTGCATGCTCTCCAGATAGAATATAACGTCACCATTTGACGTGATTTGTGGAATATGTCTAGCTCTGTTCTTTGAGTCCCTTGTTCCAAATGGCGCTGAAACGCATTATGGTACACGATTCGTGTACCAATGGTAAAATGTTTATTTTGTCTTGAATATTGGAGATCAGAAGCCCATCTTTTCCCTGTAAGATCACAAGACCAATGTTGATTTGAATTGACAAATAATTCGTATTTTCAATGTCGAAGATTTTTGATGATATTGAGTTAGAGACTTAGCTACTTTAATGAAAGGGCTAGGGAGAAAAAAATATTTTGGCAGTAAGGGATTGATGCAAGGGAAACTAATCGATTTTACGACACAAATGGAGTTGCCTCCCATGTATTTTGTTGGGCAACCATAATCATAGACTTGATTGTCCAACCTGGTAATTATTGTTAAATTTTACGAAATGCTTGTTATTCAAGACAATCGGAAATGAGATCTACAAAATGGCGCGGGTAAAGATTGTTTTTGTAAATATTTTGATGTTTTTAATGATTATTTCTGTTTGGAGTATCTGTATTTAAAAAAATGCATCGACGCTTTGTAAGATATTACTGGAGAAACTATAATGAGCATTAACAGATCCGAAAATCTAAGATTAGAACTGGAATTGATTTATAAGCATTTGTTATTGTTTGTATCGCATTCGCACTCGCAGTAGTCTAGACTATTAATATTATATCATCAGTAGTTAGTACTGATTAGCGTTTTTGGCTATGATTTTTAGGAAAACGTTGATCTTCCGCATCGTTGTCGAAGCTGTATTTGATATATTAAAGTAGCTACATGTAAGTCTCTAACTCAATATCATCCAAAGTCTCTTCGACATTGAAAACACAAATTATTTGTCAATTTAAATCAACATTGTTGATGTTGTGATCTTACCGAGAAAAGATGGACTTCTGATATACAATATTTAAGACAAAATAAACATTTTAGCATTGGTACACGAATCGTGTACCATAATGCGTTTCAGCACCATTTGTAACAAGGGACTTGAAGAGCCAGGCTAGACATATTGTTATCTGGAGAGTATGCACAATAAATACTATTGGTGTAAGCTGGAAGAGCCAGGCTAGACATATTGTTATCTGGAGAGTATGCACAATAAATACTATTGGTGTAAGCTGGAATAACCAGACGCTAGAGATTGCCATTCGATTGAGACTTCTGGTGTATTTCACCAAATATAACTGATTAAAAATTACACTAAAAACAGAAATGGTTGAATGTAAATGATTTTATGTACATTCATATTACATTATATGCGTTGTAACCCATTTGTGTCAATTTCTAGGTCCCAAACATTAGCGATTTAGCTCATTTAAAACAACAAAATTTTATAAAAGGCTATATTTTATATGTGTATGGCAAACAATTTTGAGCAAATTCTTAATTTAATCCTGAGAATGCTTTGTGAACTCGGGTAGCTGCAATAGTATAGCAGCGTCGTGGTCTCCCCTACAATTATTACATTCATTAATGCTTTACAAAAATAAATGAATAATTTTTAACACATATCGTCATAATGGAGTATAATAGTCACCGAAAAGTTTCTTTTTGGGGTTATGCACTTTGCATCAAATCAACATTTTTTATGTACGGTTGCCTTACACAAGTGGCAATCATGACGTTACTCACATCAAATTTTGAGTAACCGTTGTATCTTTCAAAATCGTTTATAGAAGCATGCAGTAGGCCTATGGATCATTCTTATTTTTTTATGGATTAGTTAATTATGTTTAGGTATGTGTAGTACTTTGTGAGGCCAGGTTAATTGGAAATTATGTGAGTTATATTGTATAGGCCAGTAACGTTTTTGTATTAAATAATTACAAAAATTGCTCAAAGGAAATCCTTAAAACTTACCACAAATGTGGCTGAAGACATGACAGAAGACATCAATAGTGGAATTATTTCTACTTGCCAAGATTTGCCAAATGGCAAAGACCCAAAGCAAATCAACAAGTGTTTTAAAGATTTGTTCCACAAGTTTTCGTAAGTTGCACTATATACTTTGTAACCCTTTTCTTCTTCAGATTCATCTTTGGTTAATGGTTTATCATGAGAAGAAATAGTATTTTATAGCTGAGATGTCTGAAACATTGAAAACTGATGATAGTCTTACGGACAAAGATGAAGTGGATTCTGTACTTGCTACAAAGTTGGCAGGTAGTGGTGAAGGAGCTGCTCTTCACGAAACAGAAGAAGAAATGGATACAACTCCAGGAACTGATAGCAAAACCGCATCATTTACGACTGATAATTCTGTTGAAGAAAGTACCGAAGGTGGAACTGCTGAGGAATCGGAGGGAGAGATGAGACAAACAAATATAGAATTTATCACAGAAAGGCTGAGCTCTATGATAGCTGATAAAATCAATACAAATCAAATCAAAACTAAGAAGAAGAAAGATAAAACAAATGCTAGAAGGTAGCCATAGATAGAAAATAACCGTCTTTGATAAGGAGGGTTGGATGGCCGAATGGTTAGCATGTGCAGCCTGTATCATAAGGCCTGTCATTGAGTGAACTGGCATGGTTTCGATTCCTTGGTTATACGTGACAATGAGTAGGGTCGCCAGTCCAACCTAGTGGATTTTCTCCAGGTCCTCCGGTTTCGTCTCACTGCTAAAGACGTGGAATACGCGCAAGCAAATCATTGAAATAAAATTGAACCATATGTTAGTCCCAAAATGACATAGTTTGTGTTATAAAACACAAATTTATATGGAAAGCAATCACTGGGTTTATTTCACACTACGTTTCAACAAGTTCCTCTTGTCGTACATACTTGAGAACGACAAGAGGAACTTGTTGAAACGTAGTGTGAAATAAACCCAGTGATTGCTTTCCATATAAATTTGTGTTTTATATCATATGTTCAGTTACTAAATGCTGTATAAGGATTTCATAGTTTGTGTTGAGTGGACATGAAACCCCATTTCTCTCTCTCTCTCCGTCTTTGATAGGCTTTATCTGCAAAATAATAGTACCCGAGTTTAACATCTGGGTGATTTTAAAACTGATGTGAAATGAAATGAAATGAAATGGGGTTTAACGTCCTACTGTTCTGCTCCTAAACTGGGCTAATGAAGACGGGCATACGCCATGCAGTGTTCTATGAGGGAAATTTTGCCCGGGCAGCGGCGCTACGGCCTACTCTTATATCGACTTCCAACTGCCAAGGAATCTTTTACATGCACTCCAATGTGTACACGGGACCTCGGTTTTTCGTCCCATCTGAATGACTAGATAGCTGTATTTTCTCACCTTCCGTCCTCCATCACTGACAAGGGGAAACCACACCGGAAAATCGGGATGAACTTTCTCGGCCAATTCAGGGATCGAACACCTGACCTCCAGGCTAGCGAGCCAGCGTCTTAGCCACGCGATCCCCTTAAAACTGACGTACAGTTCTAGGCAACACTTTTCTGACAAGTAGCAACCAGACTTAAAACTTGTATAAAAATGATTTTAAAATAACTATTCAGAGACAATTGAAGATTTTTGACATTTTCTTGGGCATATTTGTCCTTTAGTGTCTTTCTCTCTGATAATCAGGGACTGTGCCGGCTATGGTAGTTGAATGTTCAGGAAACTGCACTCTCGACTAGAAAGTCTTATGTTCGAATCCTGGCCTCCAGCATACTTCAAGCTTGGCCTTGATTTTCAGGGATGTTCCCTGTGGGATTTACAAGAAAAACTGTGTCCAGTCATTTGAAAGGAATTAAAATTGACACTGGCATGCGTGTTAAAAGAGTTCCCTGACAGTTAGAAATCAAGAAAAGAGTAGGCATTAAAATAGAAATTAAAATGACCAAATATTATATTGAGACATAATCAGGTTTTCTTTTGTATTTTTCAGTAATGATAATGATGGTGATAAGGTTCAAGACAGTGATGAAGAGACTGATGATAGTGATGCTTCAGATGTTTTGTGTATAAATCAATCTGATGATGAAGGAGACCTAGAGAATAAATTAGAAGAGAAAGCCTCTAGAAATAACCTTACAGCATCTAACGTCAAAAGTATTTTACACGTAAGTCATATATTGGCTGAAACTAAAGAATGAACAGAACAGTACATTTTGCCTGTCATGTTTTATTATTTTTTTTTTGTTTTTTTTTTACTTCAAAATTTTGATATATATATTGTCGTTCCATCAGATTACCAAGATATATTTTTTTTAAAGAATATGATTTTTTTTTGTGCAATTTTTAAGTGTTTTTGCACATAAAAACTATAATATGACCAAAATGATATCCTTCCTTTCTACCACTGTAGCCACGGTGGCTTAGTGAGTAAGATGCTGGCTCACTAACCAGGAGATTAATTCCTGATGTTGATTGAGAAAGTCACCTGGATTTTCCAGCGCGGTGTCACCTTGTCAGTGACATTTGTATGTAATGGAAACAGAGGTCATTGTGTACACCTTGTCACCCTGGCATGGACTTAAAAGAACCTTCAGTTGCAATTGAATTGCTCTCCGGGCAAAATTTCCCTCATAGCATGCTGCATGGCTTATTCCCCTACCTCATTAGGAACCACGGTGGCTAAGTGAGTAAGACACTGGCTTGCTAGCCTGGAGGTCGTGGGTTTGATCCCGGTGTTGGCAATAGAAAGTTCAGTGGTGCATTCGGGAGGGCCTGACAAGAATAGCTGTCTAGTCTTTGGATGGGGTTGGGTGGCTGAATGGTTAGTGCTTGCGCATTGTATCATAAGGTCTGCTATTGAGTCAACTGGTGTGGTTTCAATTCCATGGTTGTACGTTACAAGGAGTAGGGCCGCCTGTCCAACCTCGTGGGTTTTCTCTGGGTCCTCATGTTTCCTCCCACTGCTATAGACTCTTACCCAGAAGTGATTTATCGAAATAAAACTGAAACATATGTTAGTCCTGAAATGACCTAGTTTGTGTGGAGTGACCGTTGAACTCACTCTCTCTCTCTCTCTCTCTCTCTCTCCACCAGGCTTATAGGATTAGCTGCCAACCTTAAAATTGTGGTGAATCAAAAAAATAAATACTAGGATTTCCTCATAATTGGCTTTATGTTATTATAAATTTGTATTTATTTACAGCAAGTAATAACAAATAAAGATGTTGTAGAAATGGTGAAGAATACCCTGACTATCTTCGAAGAGGCACAATCACAAGATGCAGGGCGAACGGGAAATGTTTACGAACCAAAAATGACCAGATCTAAAATGAAAGAAGTCATTGAACAAGGAAAGGTTAGTTGGATAATGATCTCTGACCTCTCTCATCTCGTCTAATACTATACTTTAAGTTAGCTACAGTGGGTAAGACGCTAGCGTGAAAGTCAGGTGTTTGATCCCTGCATTGGCCGAGAAAGTTCATTGGGATTTTCCGACATGGTTTCCCATTGTCAGGGAGGGCCTGACAAGGACAGCTGTCTAGTCATAAAAGATCCCTTGGCAGTTGGAATTCAATATAAGAGTAGGCCATAATGCGGCTGTCTGGGCAAAATTTCCTCCATAGCACTCTGTATGGTGTATGCCCGTCTGCATAGCCCAGTCGGGGCAGAACAGTAGGACGTTAAACCCCATTTCATTCATTTCATTTCCATTATAGTCACAACCTTGTTGCTTTTTTTTTGGGGGGGGGGGGGAACTCCTTTTACCTCCCACTGTTAAAGACCCCCCACAGACATGCCAATTATTGAAATAGAATTGTACTATATGATAGTCCTGCGTCCACACATACCAAAATTGTGTATTCATCCATACCCTAATAGAAATCATACTGTACCATTCCATACCTTAATAGAAATCATAGTGTACCGTCATGTTAAGCTAAGCATATGTCTTTGGTACTGCATTGTTTTCAAAAATCATTATTATTTGTTGTATATTCAGATGCCTCAAGTCTGGCCTTTAACACCAGTAAAGAATAACACCAGATCAAAGCCCAGTTTTCTAGAGATGCAATTCACAGATGATGAAGATGAAGAATATAATCCTGAAAAAGATAAAGAAGTAGGTAAATCCAAAATTTACTGTGGGAGGAAACATCAAAATCTTGCGGGTGGTCAAATCTAGTTCAATCTCAGCCATCCGATTACTAGAAAGTTGATTATAGTGTTGATTGTAATGTTAATAAATAATAATATATATAACTTTTTAAACCAAAAAGTTTGGTTTTACGTTGCCAAATGTAAGACACAACTGAACATGTATTAATAATATCAATAAACACGCAGAAAAAAAGACTGTTGGCATCCTGCACACAGTGATCCATCTACGTCATACTTCAAGAATAGATCTCTGCTCTACGTGGCCGCCATATCCAAAAATTAGTATACTGTTATGTAATGCGGTTCTACTCCGTTTCATATTGTCATTTACACACAGAGACTAAATATACTTTTTCAATTTTATTAAATGGAAGCAGAATAATTACTTAATAAAATTCTCAAAGTATACTTAGTGTTTTCAACTAAAATCGTCAATATAAGACTTAAAATGTTGGTCAACTAGTTTAGTGTCTGTGGTTTAGTATGATCTGTTGGGTGTACTAGTCGAAACCTGAAGTTGTACCTGACTATGTCTGTGATAGGTTACTCATTTTGCTCTTCACAAAATTTTATATTTCCTATTTACAGGCTCTGTTACATGATAGTGATGATGAGAGCATGTTATCGTCACATGCCAGTGATTTTGGTTCTCCGTGTCCACAAACACCCACCACACCTAGCGTCAATCCTGTATCCACACCATCTTCTGATGTAAGTAATACATACAAAAGTAATTCATTCGACCAGCGGTGATATCTAATGTGGTGTTAGAAAAATTGTTTGAACTATGATGATTCTGTTGGTACATGTACATGCTTTCTAGGAGCTGTAAGATTTCTAATCCAGTATCGGTGGTTGCACTTTAGATCGTAAGGTGTGTCATTGAGTCAAATTGCGTGGTTTTGATCCCCTGCTTGTACATGACAAGGAGTAGGGTCCTCTATTTTCCTGCCACTGTAAAAACCCCATCCACACAAGCAAATTATTTAAATAAAAATGAACAAGTTTGTGTCACATGGACATCTCTCTCTCTCTCTCACTCTCTCTCTCTTTCTCTCTCTCTCTCGCTCTTAATTTCAAAATGGTTAATCAAGACATTTAAATCTGGAGATTTATCGATAATTGAAATATATTTCAATATCCATCTGATAAAATCTGAATTTTTTTGTAGTTGTTTTTGAGTCCACAAGTTCCTGTTAAACGATCTGTGAAAACTGACCTGGGTCATGCCTTCAATCAAGCTTCCATGACTGTGAATGAAGAAAATTTAGGAAAATTTGAGGTAAGTGTTTATTAAATTTTTGACAAGTGGGTATCTGGGTATTTGTCTACAGTTAAAGTTCAATTGCTGCCGACAGTGCCTATATGTTGAGATATGTTCATTGCATTTGGTTGACTCCAGTACCCAACATCTCACCCCGGCTGTATGACGGTAAGTGATATGTGATATCTAGCTACACCCATAAAATTGTGATTCGGCTACCGGTTTTCTTACAATAGGCGTTTTTGTGAACCGATTAGATTAGACCGATTAGCTATTATACGCATTTGTGAACCAAGTTGATTATGCTAATCGTTACATTTGTGAGATGATTTAACTCAACTGATTAGGCAAATCGACCTAATCGTCCCAGGAGGTGTTTAGGCGATTAGATTTGATGTTTTCAAAATGGCGGAATGTTCGACATCGTAAGTAATTTATAATGCTTATTGTTGTTTTTCTCCATAAAAAAATGTTTTTTTAAAACGCATTTGATGTGTTTAAAGTAGCTAAGTCTGTAACTCAATATCATCCAAAATCTTCAACATTGAAAACACGATTTATTTGTCAAATTATATCAACATTCATGTTGTGATCTTAACGGGAAAAGATGGACTTTTGATATCCAATATTTAAGACAAAATAAACATTTTACCATTGGTACACGAATCGTGTACCATAATGCGCTTCAACCCTAGTTGTATCAAGAGACTCGAGGGACGAGGCTAGACACATTGCACCAAATCAAACGGCGTATATAAACTGGAATAACCAGACGCTAGAAATTTGCACTCGCTTGAGACTGCTGGCTTATTTCGCCGAACATAACTGATTTGAAATTGGAATAAAAACGGAAACCATTGAATGTAAATCAGTTTATATACATTTATATTACAGTATTATATGCATTGCGACCCACTTTTGTCAATTTCTAGGTCCCAAATGTTAGCAATTTAGCTCCTTTAATGTTAACTTTATAGTCCACAAGAATGTTAGATCACCTCTGGCTCTAAGCAATTTTAGGCCCTCTGGGTGCCAGCAGTGTCACTGTAATCTGTAGGGAACTTGGACTACACTTGAAACACACGCCCCCCCCCCCCCCTCGTCATGTTAGCAGAGACAATTTTTTTTCTGATCGGTGTCCGTGATGGCAGCCATCTTACCAAATCGTAATTATCAAATTTCACATTTGTGGACCATAGCTAATCAAATCGAAATCATACTAAATCGTACTAGCAAATCAAAACCTAATCTAATCGACTCACAAAAACGCCTTTAAAATTACCCCAAGTTTAAAGCTGACCATTAAATTTTGATAATGAGCATCCAATTTACAAGTGTTCAGTAGGTTAAACATACATTATGCCTGAAATGTTATCTAAATTATTAATTATACATTAATTAACCTATCCAGACCATAATCAACTCTAGATGGTTATGCTAGCCTGCGATCTTTAGTGGATTATGAGCCAATTTACTGCATAACTTTCCTTCATGATTTAACGATTAAATGGATAATCAAGACTATGCTGTTTATCGTACTGACTTTAGTAATGATAATCAAGGCTAGGCGGAAATTTTAACCTCTTAGTTCTCGGTTCATAGTGGAATCATTTGAATGAAATTTTCAGCAAATTGCCTTTACATTATCTAGTTTTTAACTATTATAACTGCCAACTCGTTATCGAATCTCCCATAATGTATTTTTAATTTTTTGTAACTTATATTACAGACAGATGATACTATAATAGCTATGTGCCATGAGTCAGGTTTAGCGACTCTATGTTCAATATACTTTAATTTCAGACAGATGATACGATAGCTCGTCGTACTAGAAGTAAATTACCACTAACTACAACATCTTTATCGGAACTAGAATCAACATTCGTCGCTCCTGATATAACAGAAGATATGTATGATACACTGTGTGATGATAGCGAATGGCAGGAATTCCTTAGTTCTCTTATTACAACAGATGGTTTGTTCTTATGTTCACTTGTTTTAATGTCCGCGGGGGGTTGGGTGTTCTAGTGGGGTTGTTTTTTTTTATAAACAATATTTTATTCACAGAAAAGGATTAAGGAACAGGCTAGGCCTATATTATCTCTTACCTTAATGTGTGCACATGAAACCATAAGTTCTATCATTGCGTCAAGTGACGTGGTTTTGATTCCCCACTTGTACGTGACAAGGAGAGGGTCGTCTGTCAAACCACATGGGTTTTTCTCAGGGTCCTCCGGTTTCCTCCCACTGCTAAAGACCCCTACCCGCAAGCAAATTATTGAAATAAAATTGAACCATATGTTAGTCCCGAAATGACCTAATTTGTGTTGAGTGGATGTTAATCCTATTTCCTTATCTCTCTGTCTTTAATGTCTCCAGTTTATTAGATATATGGTTTTGCAATCGTTGCACTTGCAGCCATGAATTGTTTAGTAGGAAAGGGAACAGTGGTGGCTCAGTGAGTAAGATGCTGGCTCGCTAACTTGGAGGTCCCGTGTTTGATCCAAGTGTTGGGTTCCCCCTTGTCAGTGGTGCAGGAGAAATTCCCTGGCAAGGACTGTCTAGTTTTTTGGATGGGACAAAAAAAACCCTGAGGTCCCATGTTCGTATTGATGTAAAAGAACCCTTGACAGTTGAAATTCGAAATAAGAGCAGGCTGTAGCCCCACTATCCAAGCAATATTTCCCTCATAAGACACTGTATGGGATATGTTTGTCTTCATTAGCCCGGTCGGTGCAGAAAAGTAGGTTGTTAACCAGATTTCATATGATTACAATTCAGTTTTGCAGAAGTGTAGGATGTTAAGCCCCATTTCATTATATTTCATTATACATTTCATTATATTTCATTATATATTTCATTATACATTTCATTATATTTCATTATACATTTCATTATATTTCATTATACATTTCAGTATACCTTTCTTTATATTTCATTATACATTTCTTTACATTTCATTATACATTTCTTTATAGTTCATTATACATTTCTATACATTGCTTTACATTTCATTATACATTTCTTTATATTTCATTATACATTTCATTATACATTTCATTACATTTCAATTTTGTAGAAAAGTAGGACATTGAGCCCTGTTTGATTCAGTTATACATTTCAATTTGTTTGGGTTTTTTTATGTTTTAAGAAGTAACAGCTGATCCCCAGGAAATAAATGATGATGAGAATAATGATCCGGAGTACGATTATCTTGGTGAAGCCGAACATGAAGAAAAAGATGAAGAAGATTATCGTTTTGGTCGACCATACAGAATACCTAGTAAGATAATTATAAAGTATATAGCTTTCTTCCTTTTAAAGTCGCAGCCCATTATTATATATTTTTCAGAAAATATCAAATTTACGATGGCTTAGTCCGTGATAAAATGTATTTGAAACAATCAATTAAAATAATTTTTTATGAAATAAAAATATCAAGGGCCAATAATCTCCTGACATGGATTCAAACAAATAAAAGATTTCAGCAAAACTAGCTTGTGTATATATCGTTCACAGTTAGAATATAAAAAGGAAGACAGGTGGCACTTGCTTTTGACCATATCCCGTTTATATCTTTGTGAATACTGAATGAAATTGAACCATTTTTGAACTTATATTTCTTTTAGAGATTCAATCCATCAAATGACACTCAGATACTTTTAAGGAAAATTAGATAATCTTCCATTATTGTGGAATGTTTGTTAGGTGTAAGCAGGCCGTTAAATAGTTGTACCTGAAATTGTGTCAATTTATATTAATAAAATACTGAAAATAGACAAATCAGTGTAAGACAGTATGACATGCTCCATAAAACGGTTGTGCCGATAAAGCTTGTGTTTGTGTCTGACAATGTTTCCAGGCTTGGGTGTATGTAAGGATCAAATTGGAAACCGAATGTTGGGTCTAGCTGTCGTGGTTGCCCTTTCGAAGATGCAAATTCAGAAAAAATGTATATACAAAAATTACTTCTGCGTCTTTGACAGTCATTTAAGCAGGAAATGAAATCTTATATAGAGTGCAACTGAATAAAAATTGATCTTCTAATAGAAGGTCTGTCGTTGAGTCAACTGGCTTGGTTTCGATTACCTGGTTGTACATGACAAGCAGAACAGTTGCCTTTCAAACCTCGTGGGTTTTCTCCGGGTTCTCCAGTTTCCTCCCACTGCTAATGACCCCTACGCACAAGCGAATTATTGAAATAAAATAGAACGATATGTTAGTCCCAAAATGACCTGGTTTGTGTTGATTGGACGTTAAATCCCTCTTGCTAATAGAAGGAAGTAGAACTGTTGTAGCCCCTTCTCCATTTTTAGTTCTGTTATATTTTATATTACAGAGACAGAGATGTTAGATTTGTTAAATCAACTGACAGAATTTATGGCGTCTGATCAGGAAGAAGAAGAAGAAGAAAATAAAACAGATACAGGGTAAATATCTTTATTTATATTCCACGTCATTATTCTTTCATTTTAAAACCTATGAAGGTATTGAAAATTAATAGATCACATACATAGAAATAGTGGCATTTGAAATGAAATAAGGGGACGTGCACATGTATACACTGGGGAACTCATGTTTGGCGTAAAGTTTGGAGGATTACTTGAGAAGTTTATGTTTGTTTGTTCGATGAATGAATATGCTAGCAGGGGTGGCTCCGAACCGCCAAATTAAGATTAAACAAATGTTTCTCCTTAAAATGACAGAAGTTTGGATGTGATATTGTATTTAATAGTTTCTCCTTGAAATGACAGAAGTTTGGATGTGACATTGTATTTAATATATTTAATCTTTATGTAGTGGAGATAGTACTGAAACAGAGGAACGACATCAGAGAAGAAAACCTCTTATAATGACTGATGAATTTTCAACGAGCCAGCGTCTTATCTTAGAAGATCAGATGAGACAGGTAAGATAAATCATGAAACTCAGTTATTTCACGACTAATGAACCATGGAACTCGGTTAATGCATAACTAATAAATTATGGAACTCGGTTATTTCACAACTAATAAATCTGTAACTCAGTTATTTCACAACTAATAATTCATGGAACTTGGTTATTTCACAATTAATAAATCATGGAATGAGGTTATTTCATGACTAATAAATATGTAACGTGGTTATTTCACAAAAAATAAATTATGGAACTAGGTTATTTCATGACTAATAAATCTGTAACTCGGTTATTTCATGACTAATAAATCATGGAACTAGATTACTTTACAACTAATAAATCTGAAGCTCAGTTATTTCACTAATAAATCATGGAACCGGGTTATTATTTCTAGTTCATTAATTCACACTGTAAATCGTTTATCATTTCATCTTGCATATTAGCCTTAATTTCTTTCAAATTCATTTAATATGAAATCTTTATTTGTAAATATGTTAAAATAGTCTATAATCATCTAATTTGTACTTGTGTCTAGTTTAAATCTAACAAGCCCCTGGGGCCCCACTTTGTCACTGCTACACTAACGGATCCCCCATCGGCAAAAATGTATTAGGTTCCGACAAGAATTGTTGTTAATTCCATCTGTGTTTTATTTTTATGGTTTTTTTTCACCATTTTCTTATATTTTGATTTCTTTCAGCATGTACAGCTTTCAACTCAGTTATATTTTTTATGTCTGGGAAGTGAAGATTTTAGTTCTATGACTGAAGAATGTTATAGACATTTGGTAAGCTACCATTTCTTACTTTTTTTTACACTGATTCAAAGTTTGATCACATTATGAAGGAAAAGCAAATTTTGCACAATCTCCAACAATGAATCAATAACCAAGATTTGGACTGCTGGTCTTGAAATGAAGTGACATTAAAAGGACCATCCCGATTTTAACAGAGTCTAAGAAATAAAATTCTGTGTCCGTGTGAAATTTAAGCATAAAAATATAGAGGAATTGTTTATTTACCTTGTCTTAAGATTTATGCTCAAAATATTGAGTCGTTTGGACGTGAATGTCAAAACTGCTTATCTGGACACGTAACAGTTTTAAGATTTTGAGTCTGTTTTTTCATTGGGTGACCTGATAATCAATTACCGTTCCTTTAGAAGTCTCTGCACGTTATTTTTATCAAATAAATAAAAGTCTGGTTTTATCCAGACACCGCATAATACAGCTTTGGACACCAGTCTCTATTTTCAGATGAAGACTGACAAGTTTAAGTTGTTTGAAAATGTATCACATATATTGAATTAGTTGCTCGGCCCTAAGGTAGAGGTTTATGAGGGCTTTTGAATAAGTGGCAGACCGTATGCCAAAAAACCCCAGGCCTGTAAGATGATTAAACGTTAGAATATATTAAAAATGAGTAAATAAGTTATATAACAATTTGTTTTGTCATCCACAGCATGAATTGGATATGTTTCGACAGACATCACTAGCTGGCAGCCATTCTGTGTTTAATGCTTGTAATTTAAACTGTGCTCTCCAGTTGGTAACGGAGGAAAGACAGTGGAATTTACCTGAAGAATTGAAAGACATTGAATCTCAGAGTTTTGACGATTCTTTCAGCAATGGCACTGATTCTGAACATGAAGGATTCAGTGTGGATAATAATGTTAAGAGACAAAAGGCTAAAAACAGTAAGTATAGAAAATATTATATCAATCTTTTCATAGACAGGTTTTTTTAGGAATTATCACAGAGAGAGAGAGAGGGAGAGGGGAGAGATTAACATTCACTCCATATCAGTGATGGGATTTCAAAATTTTTCTTGTTGGACATTTTTACCGAAAATAAAAGGGCATAACTCTTATCATTATTTAAACAGGTGGTTTCAGACCACAATTAAAAATCATGTGTCAAAAAAATATTCAAATTCATACGTAATAAAAAAAATAGGTGCTCCTCGTTATTTTTCATATTTAATTCCCGTACGGTATTCAAATTTATGTCAGTAATATTCCTACAAAATTACGTGTTGTCGTAATACGATAGAATGGAAGCGTACCGACTACTGTCGACTTGTACTTTTGTTCAAAATCACCTCCAAAATTACCATATTTTTCGGGGTATTTGTTGATACTTTTTTCAGCAGAAGTCCGGCATTCGTCTTATACAACGTTTTGACTTCTATACTGGTGGAGGTAAAAAAAAAAGACATCCCAAAAATTTTTTGGCAATGACCGTCGCTCCACGATACCGAGCCAGTGACATCATATGCTAAATAATAGCACTCGCACGCGGTATCATGTAAAACAATTAACTACTTACATGTACCCTATTCCAATCGAAATATTTCTTGATATTTCTCAGCTTGATTATTTCTTCTTTTTTTTTAAACATAAACCCCATTCAAAATAGTATCATAAACCCAAGAATATGCCATCAAAATAGAATCTTTCCTCCGACGTGATAATTGTCACGATTACATCTCTTTTAGTTTCACGCGTCTTGCGAGATTTCTACTTTAGTTTTCGATCATTGTATTATAACCATGTGTGGGTGTTTGTGTTATATAGCTTTATTTAACGCCCGCTTCCACCGAAGTGACATCGCAGACAAATTAACGGATATATTGATTTATAAGTTTACGTGATAATTGTCTTGATTTGGGGTGTTATATACTCTTACAATATGTGACATCTATGATTAGTTTATACAAGTTTATACATATTGTCGGCTCAAATCATTGGGATTAAAATGTTCGACAATGAAGAAACCATGAGGTAAACACGTAGATTAAAATGATAATCACTCTTATTGGATTGATGAATGATCAGACAAGCAATGACTTCTGTTTAAGATTAGATTGATGAATTGTCAGACAACAGATTAAGTAATTAATCAAGGTAGGTGTATAGACGCTATAAGACGATAAATACGTTGATCATTTTATTACCTAATCAATCCAGCCTATTATCAACACACAGTACACTATACTAATTTTGGAATTTTGAATATTATTCACCATGTCTTGATGTCCGGTGGGCATATTCCTGGTCGGACAATTTAGGATGTTTGGAAAATAGCATCGGACATGTCCAGAATATACGGGCGAAATCACATCTCTGCTTTATATATATACTTACGTGTATACAGGACCTTTCTTGGCCAAAACCAGATCGTACACAGGATCTTCAGGTTAGCGAGCTAAACAACTTACTCACTGAGCCACCGTGGCCCTTTTAGATCAGGAAGTTTTTTCATGATTTAAAATTCAATATTTTCTCTTTTTTACAGAAGCCTTTTTGGAATCCCAGAAACAGATATTTTGGAATAGCCCAGTATTTATGTATCCAAACTTGTTGCCACGACGGCGTCTAATGTCTAAAGAAGAATCCGAAGAACTACGTATATTTTTTAGTGCCGGAGAAGATAAGTAAGTACTGTCTCTCTGTAAGATTAATTGTTTTAGACTTCCCGATATGGGGGGGGTTGGATGGCTGAATGGTTAGCGTGCGCGCGCTGTATCATAAAGGCTGTCATTGAGTCGACTGGCGTGGTTTCGAATCCCCGGTTGTACGTGACAAGGAGTAGGGTCGCCTGTCCAACCTCGTGGGTTTTCTCCGGGTCCTCCAGTTTCCTCCCACTGCTAAAGACCCCTACGCGCAAGCGAATTATAGAAATAAAATTAAACCATATGTTAGTCCCGAAATGACCTAGTTTGTGTCGAGTGGACGTTAAACCCCATTTCTCTCTCTCTATCTCACTTCCCGATATGGTTGGATGGCTTTGTCACTGACCTTATATTTTAAAGATGTATTCCCACAAAAGCAATCTGATTAAAATACAGACCTATATTTCCAGGGTTCCCGCGGTCCTTGAAAATCCTTGAATATCCTTAAATTTAAAATTTCATTTTCAAGGTCTTGAATATCCTTGTATTTCGCGGAAATAGGAAAATATCCTTGAATTTCAGTTGAGATCCTTAATTTTGTTTCAAATGTCTTCAATTCCTTTTAAATATGAGATTATAACGATAGTTGGTAATGTTTTGGTTATTTTTAAGATGAAAAAGTGTAACTTTAGGCTAAAAAATGTCCTTGAAAATCCTTGAATTTGACGTATATTTATCCTTGAATATCCTTGAAAAAATTTTTGACGAAGCCGCGGGAACCCTGATTTCGTTTCGTTTTTTTATACTTTCCATGGCCTTACACCACATGAATACCTGACCAGGGAGGTCGTGTCAAGGGTCATACAAGCGGCTTTTGACCCTATGACGTCAGACATGGATTAATCAATCAGCGTTGACGTTTCTAGGGGTTTACCCACAGTTCCGTGCAGAGAATGCCAGGAACTCGCCGTAACAGACCGTTTTATTCACTAATTCCTCACATCAACTAGAACCCCCGTTATATAACAACTCTTCCAGATCCTAGTGTTGTGAAGACAAACAAAACGAAATTTTGAACTATAAAACAAAACGAAATATGATCTGTGTTTTAATCAAATTGCCACAAAAGTATTTATCGGGTAGTTAGTTTCAATAAAAGTATGACATTGTTGGTATATATTGAAAGTAGAGACATCCAATTCTAATAGAAACATTGGATTCCCTGAAAAACACCCATGGGTGTCACAAACTGGCAGACTGGCCACTTGTTTTTTGGCTTCGCTATGTTTTGGGAAAGAGTGTTGTGTTGTTTACAGACTTTACGACCAACTAAAGGTTACAGTCTTCTACCCAAAAAATTCTGCATTCAGTCCTTCAATATTCCTCAGCATCTAGTTGTTCTGATAGTACAAAAAAAAACCTGAGGTTTCGTGTACACTTGGAATTAACGTAAAATAACTCTTGATAGTTGGAAGTCAATTGCTATCTAGGAAAAATTCCCCTTATGGAGCTGAAAAGTAGGATATTAAACCCATTTCAATATGCTTATTTTTTCTTCCACAGGTTAATAGTGCTAGGTATGGATCAGTTTGGTTCAATGCCCAAAAACATTCCAGCCATACAGAAATATCTACTACCTGTTAAAACTGTTAAACAGATTCATTTTAGAATTAAAAATAAAGCAGGGACGAGAGCTGGTGATAATCCAATTAGGGTAAATATGATAGTTGATTTTTTTATACCCACATTTATTATCCCTGAATATTGATATCATCTGCTATACTGTCCAGTCACAGTGGCTCGGTGAGTAAGATGTTGGCTAGCTAACCTAGAGGTTCGCTGCGGGTGTTGACCGAGAAAGTTGATCTGGATTTTCCAGAGTGGTTCCTCTTTGTCAGTAGTGTTGCTGTCGGAACAAAATTTCCATCATTTCACTCATGCCTGTCTTCATTAGCCCAGTCAGAGCAGAACAGTTGGACATTAAAGACCCCATTTCATTTCATTTTCCATCGTCAGATCTTGCTTCTCGGTAGCAACAATGACTCTGTGAATACAGCACTGGCTCACTAATCTGGAGGTCCTGGATTTGATCCTAGTAGTGTCTTCCAAGAGTGTTCCTCAGGAACAAAATAAAATGTACATTTTCAAGTAGTCATATCATGGTTACACATTATTTGTCTTCTTCAACATCTATAAGAATTAACTTGGTTTTTTTAAGTATGACATTTCATTTTATTTTTATTTTTTTAGAATTACAGGCAATATAAGATTCTACCAGAAAATACGGCCATGTTTAATAATTTCTGCCTGAGTATGATGAAAGCCCCAAAATATCAGCCATTGGAACAGTTACCTAACTGGTGCAAGGTTAGTATATAGTTCTGCTACATATCCAGCCACTGAAGTGCAGGGGTTTGGTAGTGCTCCAGGGTCAACTCCTTGACTGTATGCCCCCAAGATTAAAGTAAAGGGCCTCAGTACTCAGAAATGTGAGAAAGGAAGACGTTTAAATATGTAAAACCAGAAGAAATATACTTTGTATTCTAATTAAAGGACGCAAGTCGCTAACTCAAAATCATCCATAATGGAGCGACTCAGTAAATGGAGGCTTAACATTCCCTAAAAGAGTATACTACCGATGAAGACTGGAATAACCAGAAGCCAATTTGGACTCGCATATTTCGCCGAACATAGCTGATTAGAAATTACATTAAAAACAGAAACGATTGAATGTAAATCAGTTTATATACATTCATAAAACATTATTATATGTGTTGCGACCCGTTTGTGTCCAACTCTAGGTGCCAAAGAATAGTGATTTAAAAAAAAAATTGTGTGTATTTTTAGATGGGTTTTTTTTTATGATTTTTGTATACCATGGTACTCTAAATGGGTGTATTGATGCCAGGAAATTTTACCTCCTTATTAAGCACAGATATTGTTGTTCCATCTATTTTGAATTCTGCGCACCCTGGAAAACACGTTGGTCTATTGTTACTAATCAATAATTCACAGGACATAATGTACTTTGATTTAAAGGGAGAACACATAATTGCATGATAGACATTGCAAGGTAACAATGACCCAATTTACAATTCTTTAGCACCATTCATGGTTGTAAGTAAGATTTATAAAGGTTGCATTCTGTGGAATTGAAATGAAATGAAATGAAATGGGGTTTAACGTCCTACTGTTCTGCTCCGACTGGGCTAATGAAGACAAGTATTTGTAATGTGTTCGTCATCATGAAACAAAGTTTAGTAACTATCACCATGGTCAATCTCATCTTGCGATACATCTGCTGAGCACAGGGCCCTTATTCACGAAAACTTAAACTAAGATACAATCGAAATTTTAAGAAATACTGCAATTCGATTGGCTGACCAGTAAAATCAATTTGCATATATCCAATTTGCAAATTGGTCAGCCAATCGAATTGCAGTATTTCTTAAATTTCGATTGTATCTTAGTTTAAGTTTTCGTGAATAAGGGCCCAGGGCAGTAAATTTGTTATAGAGTTTCTTCTATAAGCAGGGGGGGTGGTGGATGGCCGAATGGTTAGCACGCGCGCTGTATCATACGGTCTGTCATTGAGTCAGCTGGCAGGGTTTCGATTCCCCGGTTGTACGTGACAAGGAGTAGGGTCACCTGTCCAACCTCCTGGGTTTTCTCCGGGTCCTCCGGTTTACTCCCACTGCTAAAGACCCCTACGCGCAAGCGAATTATTGAAATAAAATTAAACCATATGTTAGTCTCGAAATGACCTAATTTGTGTCGAGTGGACGTTAAACCCCATTTCTCTCTCTCTCTCTTCTATAAGCATGGAT